GGCTCGAGATAAATCGCGTTATGTCGTTTGTAACACCCCCTCCCCCAGGTGTTTTGCTGCTGTAGAAATGGAGGAAGGCTGTCTTGATCCAAAGAGCTTTACAGGCTAAATATAGGTTGGCACCTCTTGCAGCGTTAGTGCTCTGACTTACAGTAGTGCTGCTCTTTTTAGAAAGTCCAAGGGGTTCATAAAACTTTGTGTGCTGCGCAGAAGGCTGGGTGAGGGGGAAGTCTGGGAATAGTTTCTAAACACGTTTGTAGATGAAGTGGGCTGATTGCCAAAGGATATTGGCTGCTGTGTAAGGATGCTTTAGTTTTGAGCGCAATACTTATGTGATTTATGCAACTGTATAGTTGTTTTGTTCTTATTTTCAGATGCTTCTGGACTACGTCTGATTCTGTTGCCAAGCAAGGTGTTACTTTAAACAGCTTAATATTGTGTAGGATGATGGAAGACTTCAGAAATATTGCTGATGAGACGTTTCCAAGTTTCTTGGGCAATTCACTGAGTAGCAGTACAAGTGTAATTTTTGAAAACGTCACGATTTCCTCAAACCCTGGCTTACCTGTTGCAGCTTCAACTGTTGCCAAGAGTAAAATGGGCTGTGACAACAGGTGAGATTATCAATTAAAACCACTTAATAAAATAAAAAAGTTGAATTGTAAGAAAACACCATCCAACCTTGGGGGGATTTTTTTTGACATTTTACTTGGTAGATGATAAAGCTGTTCAATAATCAATAGCATGGAATGATTGTGTTAGCAGTGAAAAATCTTGGTTAAACTCATGCCTGTCATAAAATACTTTAAATTTAGTCATTTACCCTATAAAAGGGTATTTCACTTTTTAGATTGAAAAGATAATGATGAAAAGTTTCTTTTAGCTCAAATTTTAAGAGTTTGTTTTACTCAAGATTGAGCTCTTTTAGGGAATGATGTATTTTTTTTACATGTTAGTTTTCTGTTCGGTTAACTAAATCTGACACATTTTAGAAAATATACTGTAAGAACTAGTATTTTATGGATACCAGTTAAAATTAAAAATTTAAAATTATAGTTTATAATGATTTACTCAACCGACAATAGAACAAAGAGTAACGCTTAGAAACCTGTGGTCACTTTTACTGCTTTCCCATATGATTTAGCAAGAAGTAAGATGAGGCTCTTATGCCGTGTCTTTCCAGAGCTGAGTATTCCAGATGGGACAGAATCTTGCCAAATCAAAGCAATAACCACTAACAATGAGGTATTTCCTTA